TGAAAACTGAGCATGTGCAGAGTTTCCCTCTACAGCTGCAAAATCCCTAGCTGAATTGGGGGCATGAACAGAAGAAAGGAATAGAAAGCAGCAGGATCAACTAGGTTTTTTTTTGCAGAATTCAGAATATGAATCTCATAGTGGCTGAGTGAGTATGAACAGCATGTAATAAAGCATTTATTGATAGTTTTTTATGATGCTGGGTTTAGTGACACTTTAACCCTTCTATGTATGTACAGCCGTGTTCAAAGTAATAGCAGTGTGTTGAAAAAAGTGAATAAAGCTCAAAATCCTTCTAATAACTTTTATTTCCATACACACAAATGCATTGGGAACACTACACATTCTATTCCAAACCAAAACATGAAGAAAAATATATCAAATTTGTGTTGTTCCTCTAAAAAAAAATGAAGAAAAGTGAATATTAGACTGTTCAAAAAAAAGAGCAGTGTTTGTATTCTTCTTTACAAACTCAAACATTCACTATATAAACTGAAAAATGTTTGAAGATTTTGCTTTTCCTTTGAATCACTTAATGAATATTTAGTTGTATAAGCACTGTTTCTGAGAACTGCTGTACATCTGTGTTGCATGGAGTCAACCAACTTCTGGCACCTGTGAACAGGTATTCCAGCCCAGGATGATTGGACTACATTCCACATTTCTTCCCTATTTCTTGGTTTTGCCTCAGAAACTGCATTTTTGATGTCACCCCACAAGTTTTCTATTGGATTAAGATTCGGGGATTGGGCTGGCTACTCCATAATGTCAATCTTGTTGGTCTGGAACCAAGATGTTGCACATTTACTGGTGTGTCCTGGGGTCGTTGTCTTGTTGGAACACCCATTTCAAGGGCATTTCCTCTTCAGCATAAGGCAGCATGACCTCTTCAAGTATTCTGATGTATTCAAACTGATCCATGATCCCTGGTATGCGATAAATAGGCCCAACACCGTAGTATGAGAAACATCCCCATATCATGATGCTTGCACCACCATGCTTCACTGTCTTCACAGTGTACTGTGGCTTGAATTCAGTGTTTGGGGTCGTCTGACAAACTGTCTCCGGCCACTAGACCCAAAAAGAACAATCTTACCTTCATCAGTCCACAAAATGTTGCGCCATTTCTCTTTAGGCCAGTCAATGTGCTCTTTGGCAAATTGTAACCTCTTCAGCACATGTCTTTTTTTCAACAGTGGGACTTTGCGGGGGCTTCTTGCAGATAGCTTGCCTTCACATAGGTGTCTTCTAATTGTAACAGTACTCACAGGTAACTTTACACCTTCTTTGATCTTCCTGGAGCTGATTGTTGGCTGAGTCCTTGCCATTTTGGCTATTTCTTCTATCCATTCGAAATGGTAGTGTTTCGCTTTCTTCCACAGCTTTCAGGTTTTGGGTGCCATCTTAAAGCATTTGCGATCATTTTAGCTGAGCAGCCTATCATTTTCTGCACTTCTTTATATGTTTTCCCCTCTCCAATCAACTTTTTAGTCAAGGCACGCTGTTCTTCTGAACAATGTCTGGAACCACCCATTTTCCTCAGAATTTCAGAGAGAAATGCACTGTAACCAGCATGTACAACATTTGCTGCCTTCCTTCCTTAAACAAGGGCAATAATTGCCACCTGTTTTTCAAAGAATGAATGACCTCACTAATAGAACTCCACACTGCTATTATTTTTGAACATGCCCCTTTCAATTAGTAATTCAATTACACAGAATCAGCAGCATGCATGTCATGACTGTTGGGTCTGTTGGATTTCTATTACTCTACTACACCTGCTAGTAAATTATTTGCCATGTAGAAATATAATTTCTACCAAAAACAGTGATTGATCAGGTTAGTGATGTCTGACTGCAATTATTTTGAACACAACTGTATAAGACTTTGTGCACATGAATGCTTCCAGGCATCCAATGTAAATTGCAGGTGTATTTTCATATCTGGGAAGACAGCTGCAGCTCATTGAAAAGAATAGCTCTACGCTAGCGGTCACACCATGCTTTCATAAGCTCACACAAGGGAACAAAACCCTGTGGATTTTATGCGCCCATTTTCTCCTATGTGCAAAATTTGCACAAGCACGACATAAACCTGGGTGCAGCCATTCATTACCCCACAGCTGTCTTCACAAAGTGCACAAATATGCCTGCATATTACTTCGGATACCTGTAAGCGTCTGTGTGCAAACTTGCCTGATCCAATGACATGCCATAAATGGACATCGATGTGTAAATTTGGTAAGTTGTTGAACATTTTAAAGCTGAATTCTGACAAATTTTGTCTAAATAGAAGAGTCATGTGTATTCTCCATTGAATCTTGGTGTACTTCTTCCAGATCTGTGCAATAATCCATTCTGAAACTGGAGCTTCCTGTAATACAGACCAGTCACAGCTGCTCTCTCTTTGTGCAGGGCAATTGGTCTTGTCTCCGCCCCCTCCTGTCATTTTCTGTAGTGGGTAGGTCTATTGGAGCCCTCGCACAACTCAGCACTCTGCACATGTACAGCACAGTGATTATGTCACTACTATTTTTACAAGGTAATACCTGGGTTTACAAAGGCATTTGGTGTACACAAAGAGGATTTATAATTGTGGCTAATGAGGAATATATTTCAATTAAAATTTTTGTGCCCAAAGTTCAGCTTTATTTCCTGAACTCCAGGTGCTCCCGACCCTCCAAGGTCTAAATATGGCCCTGTCACACATTGATGCTCTGGATAGAACAACCCTCTGCAGCATTACGCACAGTGACGTCTGGCCCCCCCACCAACAATGCTTCCAGGTATCAAACATCGGGACCCTCCAGAAGCAGATGGACACCTTGCAATGCTAATCCTGATGACTAATCCTTTAATAAAGCGGAGAAAGCTGCCCTGTAATGAGGAGAAATCCTCCCTGGATATTGCTTATGATGTATAACCCAGAATACAGGCATCCGTTTATTGTACAATGGAAGAATTCTCTCCCCAGCATTGTTTCTCATTGTTAGACCTGTCACAGCCGGCAAGGTAATTAGATTTATTTGTTTATGCAGAGCGCTGGAGTGTTCAGGTATTGGGCTCCATGTACTAAATCATACACTGAGCAGTCACATAAGGTAACAGCACGTATCACTGCTGTGCCTCACAAATCGCTTTATTGTAAATCTTAAAAAAAAAAAAAAAAAAAGAACAGGCTTACAAATGAAATTTGTTCCATTGTGATGTCAGCGCAGAGCTGAACAGAACTTATTGTCCGCCTTCGAAAATTAGCACAGCTCACTCTCTGCTGGAAACCTAGAAAAGTCCTTTACTGGGAACAAATTGCTTGCTAAAGGGGATCTGTCATAAAGTACATGGGGTTTGACTTATTTATTCTTCTGAAAATAAAACTGTCATAAAAACAGTCCATTTGTGGTTACTTGTTACTTTTTTAACAGCGGAAAAGTGTTAGGCTAAAGTTTTAAAGTTGCTTGATCTGTCGTAAAATAAAATGGGAAATATTTATTTTGTCTATCCAGGGCTGGCCTTAGGCAAAGAGGGCGATTGCCTTTGGCTTTAATCATAACTAAAGTGAAAAAAAAAAAAGTACGAGCAGGCTGGCTCTTTATTGCAGAGGAGACAGGCTATGTCTGCAATAAAATAAACCTCTCTGCTTCCTCAAAATCTCCTGTAGGATGTACACTGAGCTTCGGATGTGCATGTTCCAGTGTGCCTGGATGAATGACCCCCATGCATGTTCATGTCTGCAATTAAGATGGCTGAAGACTTGCAATTGGAAGAAACCAGGGAGAAGACGGTGGGACTGGCAAAGGATTCCTGCCTTCTGTGCCACTTTAACTGTCATCAGGCATCAGTTAGATATTTAAAGAGTATATATATATATAATAATATATATACATACATATATAGCCATAAGTATTGGGACGCCTGCCTTTAAATGCATATGAACTTTAATGGCTTCCCAGTCTTAGTCCATAGGGTTCAAAATTGAGTTGGCCCACCCTTTGCAACCATAACAGCTTCAACTCCTCTGGGAAGGCTGTCCACAAGGTTTAGGAGTGTGTCTATGAGAATGTTTGACCATTCTTCCAGAAGCACATTTGTGAGGTCAGGCACTGATGTCGGACGAGAAGGCCTGGCTCACAGTCTCCGCTCTAATTCATTTCAAAGGTGTTCTATCAGTTGAGAGCAGGCCAGTCAAGTTCCTCTAGCTCAAACTCGCTCATCCATGTCTTTGTAGACCTTGCTGTGTGCACTGGTTTGCAGTCAAATTGGAACAGCAAGGGTCCATCCCCAAACTGTTCCCACAAAGTTGGGAGCATGAAATTGTTCAACTTGTCTTGGTATGCTGACACCTGAAAAGTTCCTTTCTCTGGAACTAAGGGGCCAAGCCCAACCCCTGAAGAGCAACCCCACACCATCAAACCCCCCCCCCCCCAAACTTTACACTTGGCACAATGCAGTCAGGCAAGTACTGTTCTCCTGGCAACTGCCAAACCCAGACACGTCCATCGGATTGCCAGACAAAGAAGAGTGATTCATCACTCCAGATAATGTATCTCCACTGTTCTAGAGTCCAGTGACGGCATGCTTTACACCACTGCATCCAACACTTTTTATTGCACTTGTTGATGTAAGGCTTGGATGCAGCTGCTCGGCCATGGAAACCCATTCTATGAAGCTCTCTACGCACTGTTGTTGTGCTAATCTGAAGGCCATATGAAGTTTGGAGGTCTTCAGCTATTGACTCTGCAGACAGTTGGTGACCCAGTCTGCACACTGTGCGCTTCAGCATGCATTGACCCCACATGCTGTTGTTCTCAGTTGCTTCCAATTTGTTATAATACCACTAACAGTTGACTGTGGAATATTTAGTAGCAAGGACATGGACTTATTGCACAATTGGCAACTTATCACAGTACCACACTTGAATTCACTTAGCTCCTGAGAATGATCCATTTTTTCACAAATGTTTGTAGAAGCAGTCTGCATGCCTAGGTGCTTGATTTTATACACCTGTGGCCATGGAGGTGATTGGAACACCTGAATCCAAGGATTTGGAGGGGTGTCCCAATGCTTTTGGCAATATAGTGTATACACAGTGCTCAGCATAAATGAGTATATCCCAATAGATTTGTCAGAAAACTTTTACTTTCCTTTCAGAATCAACATTTTTTATAGGACACTATACTACAAAATACTTCCACAAGTGTAGACCACTGATTGCAAACAAGATTTGTTAATTTGCACAAAAAAAGTATTTTTCCTAACAAATTAATTCAAGACTGTGTTGCAAAAATTAATACACCCCAAAGAAAGTCTTAGGAGCAAAGCTAAATTTTATGCAGGCCATAGATGGGTCAAAAATCGGCCGATTTTTCTTAAAAAAACCGAAAAATTGGTTGTTCAAGCGCCGACGTTACCAGCAACGGTAAAAAAAAAATCCGACGATTTTTTCATCCCGTCTACAGCCGGCAAAAAGTGCCCCTTCTTCTTCTTCCTCCTCTTCTTCTTCTTCTTCCTTCTTCTTCTTTCTTCTTATTCTTCATCCTCTTCTTCTTGTTGTTCTTCTTATTCTTCCTCCTCTTCATTCTTCTCATCCTCTATCTCTTTCTCTTCTTCTTCTTCCTCTTCTTCTTCTTCATCCTCTTCTTCTTCCTGTTCTTCATCCTCTTCTTCTTCCTTTTCTTCTTCTTCCTCCTCCTCTTCTTCATTCTCTTCTTCTTCTTCCTCCTCCTCTTCTTCATCCTCTTCTTCATCCTCTTCTTCTTCTCTCTTTTTCTTCCTCTTCTTCATCCTCTTCTTCTTCTCTTCTTCCTTCTTCTTCCTCTTCTTCATCCTCTTCTTCATCCTCTTCTTCATCCTCTTCTTCATCCTCTTCTTCATCCTCTTCTTCTTCCTCTTCTTTATCCTCTTCTTCTTCTTCTTCCTATTCTTCTTCTTCCTCCTCCTCTTCTTCATCCTCTTCTCTTCATCATCCTCTTCTTCTTCATCTACTTCATCCTCTTCTTCATCCTCTTCTTCTTCCTCTTCTTCATCCTCTTCTTCATCCTCTTCTTCTTCTTCATCCTCTTCTTCTTCCTCTTCTTCATCTTCTTCTTCTTCCTATTCTTCTTCTTCCTCCTCCTCTTCTTCATCCTCTTCTTCTTCATCATCCTCTTCTTCTTCCTCTTCTTCATCCTCTTCTTCCTCCTCTTCTTCATCCTCTTCTTCATCCTCTTCTTCATCCTCTTCTTCCTCCTCTTCTTCTTCTTCCTCTTCTTCATCCTCTTCTTCATCCTCTTCTTCTTCTTCATCCTCTTCTTCTTCCTCTTCCTCTTCTTCTTCTTCTTGTTCTTCTTCTTCTTTACCTCTTCTTCTTTTTTCTTCTTCTTTTTGTCTTCCTCTTGCAGGTCACTGCTCATGCGCAGATTTTTTATCGGTAAAAAGATCGGCCGATTTGCCCATCATTGCCGCGAAAATCGTCCGATCGGCAAAATCGGCCGATTTTTTTCCAACTTTACCGATAAAAAAAATTTGCCAAAATACCGAAAAATGGCCGAAGAATTAGCCCACTAACGATCCGAAAATCGGCCGATTTTATTTTCGGCCGAAAAATCGGCCGATTTTCGACCCATCTATGGCCTGCATTAGACAACAAAATCCGAATTAACAAAACTTCAACTACAGGTGAGTCTAATTATTCATTAAACGTGTGTCCAGCAGACAGCTGATTATAAAAGGGCGTAACTTAACAAAGAAAACCCCTTCCCAAATCATGCTGTCAGCAATGGCACCACATAGAAGAGAAATGTCACAAGTCCTGAGAAAGAAAATAATTTCTTGATACAAGAAAGGTGAAGGCTACGAGAAGATCAGCAAAGTTTTACTTAAATGTCAGAATACTGTAGCAAAAGTGATACAAAAATTTAACAAAGATGGAACTGCGACCTACTCACAGAGACGTCCAGGCTGTCCACAGAGGTTAACTCCTCAACAGGAGTGTCTTCTGATAAGAAGGGTTGAAGAAAAACACCATGCAAATTCACTGCAGTTAGCTACAGAAGTAGAAAGCCAAGCTGGGGTGATTGTTTCCCGTGACACAATATGGCGTACACCGCAGAGGAATGGCATGCATGGGTGTCATCCATGAAGGAAATTTCTCCTAAAGACCGTGCACAAAAAAGTCCTCCTACAATTTGCCAGCGCTCATGCTGAAAAAGAAGTCTACTCAGACTCTGTACTCTTTAGTGATGAGATCAAGATAAATGTTTTTGGAACTGATGGATTCAAAACTGTATGGCTTTGCAAAGATGAGGAGTACAAAGAAAAATGCATGGTGCCTACAGCGAAGCATGGTACTGGCAGTGACCTTGTGTGGGGCTTCATGAGTGCTGCTAATGTCGGGGAGCTGCATTTCATTGATGGTATCATGAATTCACAGATGTACTACTGTATTGAAAGAGAAGATGCTACCATCACTCAGTACCCTTGGTCGTTGTGCACTTTTTCAACATGACAACAATCCACTACACACATCTGAGGCCACTGCTGCATTTCTGAAGAAGAACAGGGTGGAAGTGATAAAGTGGCCAAGTATGTCTCCTGATCTGAACCAAATCGAAAACCTATGGGGACTTCTGAAGAGAGAAGTTGAGCATCACTCTCCATCCAGCATCCAGGCGCTAAAAGAGAGCATTCTTGAAGAATGGAAAAAGATAGATGTTGCAATAATTCGCCAACTTGTTCATTCCATACCAAGAAGACTTGGTGCTGTCCTTACAAATCATGGAGGAAATACATAATACTAGATGGAGTCAATTTTGTTGTGGGGTAAATTCATTTTTGTATCAACTAATTTGAGTAAAACTGAAGACTGTGTAATCTAAGTTACTGTATTAAACTGACTTTCATGTAACGAGCTAAACAAATAGTCTGTAAAACTCAGTTTTGTCAAACGTTTGGAAATTGTTCTTGTGTTTATTGAGATATTGATAACATCTTAATTTTCATAAGGGCATAAGGGGTGTACTCATTTATGCTGAAATGGTTTTCCAATTTTTTTTCAAATAAATATCTGAAAAGTGGTGTGCATTTGTATATAGCCCCCCTTAGTCAATACTTTGTAGAACCTCCTAGATTGTAAGCTCCATGGAGCAGGGCCCTCCTATCCCTCTTGTATTGAACTGTATTGTTGCTTTATTGTCTCCCTTTATATTGTAAAGCGCTGAGCAAACTGTTGGCGCCATATAAATCCTGTAAAATAATAATAATAGCCACCTTTCACTGCAATTACAGCTGCAAGTCATTTTGGGTATGTCTCTATCAGCTTTGCACATCTAGAGAGGGATATTTTTGCCCATTCTTCTTTGCAAAATAGTTCAAGCTCTGTCAGATTGGATGGAGAATGTCCTTGAACAACAATTTTCAAATCTTGCCACAGATACTCAATTGGATTTAGGTCTGGACTTTGACTGGGCCATTCTAACACATGAATATGCTTAGATCTAAATCTTTCCATTGTAGCTCCATTGTAGCTCTGGCTGTATGTTTAGAGTTGTTGTCCTGCTGGAAGAAGAACCTCCACCGCAGTCTTTTTTGCAGACTCTAACCAGTTTTTTTTCTAAGATTGCCCTGTATTTGGCTCCATCCACCCTCCTATCAACTCTGATCAGCTTCCCTGTCCCTGCTGAAGTAAGCATCCTCACAACATGACACTGCCACCACCATGTTTCACAGGGGAGATGGTGTATTCAGGGTGTTGTTTTTTGTCATACATAGCATTTTGCCTTTAGGCCAAAAAGTTCAATTTTGGTCTCATCTTATCAGAGCTCCTTCTTCCACATATTTTCTGTATCCCCCACATGGCTTCTCGCAAGCTGCATATGGGAATTCTTATGGCTTTCTTTCAACAATGACTTTCTTCCATAAAGGCCAGATTTGTGGAGTGCACGACTAATAGTTGTCCAGTGGACAGATTCTACCACCTGAGCTGTGAATCTCTGCAGCTCCTCCAGAGTTACCATGGGCCTCTTTGCTGCTTCTCTGATTAATGCTCTCCTTGCCCGGCCTGTAAGTTTAGGTGGACGGACATGTTTTGGAAAGTTTGCAGTTGTGCCATACTCTTTCAATTTGTGGATGATGGATTGAACTTTATTCCATGAGATGTTCAATGCTTGGATATTTTTTATAACCTAACCCTGCTTTAAACTTCTCCAAAACGTTATCCCTGATGTGTCTGCGTGTTCCTTGACCTTCATGATGCTGTTTATTCACTAATGTTCTCTAACAAACCTCTGAGGGTTCACAGAACAGCTGTATTTATACTGAGATTAAATTACCCACAGGTAGACTCTATTTACTAATTAGGTGACTTCTGAAGGCAATTGGTTCCACTAGTTTTTAGTTAGGGGTATCAGAGTAAAGGGGGTTGAATAAAAATGCATGCCATACTTTTGAGATATTTATTTGTAAAAAATTTTGAAAGCCATTTATCATTCCCCTTCCACTTCATAATTATGTGCCATTTTTGTGTTGGTCTGTCACATAAAATCCCAATAAAATATATTTACGTTTTTGGTTGTAACATAACAAAATGTGGAAAATTTCAAGGGGTATGAATACTTTTTCAAGGCACTGTATATATATATATATATTGTATACAAATATATATATATATACTGTATATAGTGCATTCATAAAGTATTCAGACCCCCTTCACTTTTTTCAATGTTGTTATGTTGCAGCCTGATACTACAGTTGTTCACATTTGTTTTTTTTTTTCTCATTAATCTACAGTTAGTGCCCCATAATGACAAACTGAAAACAGAATTTTAGACATGTTTGTTAATTTATGAAAAAGGAAAACTGAAATATCACATTGACATAAGTATTCAGATTTTAGTTTTGGTAAGGGTGGGAAACCCTATCAAGTTTTTATCGTTCAATCCGAAGTCCAATACCCCACAATATTAGGGGGGCTTGGTGATCCAGCATAAAAGTCTTGTATATGTAGTTTCCTTTTCAATCAGCTGATGACAGAGCCTCACAAAGGAATGCACACTAGAAAAGAAACCAAAAGCGGAGCGCATCTAAGAGTATCAGCAGATGAACAGGTAAACTGGATGTCCAGCTTAAATAGCAGGAATCCACAGTAAATTTCGAAGTCATCTTCAAAAACACATCCACAGATACGCTCAACATTGTCACTGCTGGATATTAAGAGTCTTCAAAGTGCGGATTAATAAAATGAATCACAACACCAATAAATAAAAGCCCCAAATCTATTAAAATCAATATAGCTCGACGCGTTTCGGAGCATGCATTGCTCCCTCTTCAAGACTTGATACATAGTAAAACTGGGTAAAAAAAAAGGATTTAAGTTTTGGGTTCATTTTAAGAACGGTTCTTAAAGATTGAAGACTAATGAGAAAGAGATGGACCTATATCTGAACTTCAAATGTACCTTCAGTCACAGCAAGCCAGATAACGCCCGTCTTTTTTCCTGGCTTGCGGGACTTCCAGCATTTTCTAGCTCTTTCATCCCCAGCCATACTGGCTCACCCCTTTCATTCAGTGGATTTCAGTTCTTCCAATCCTGGAGGTTCAGCATCACATGTTGGTGTTACCTAGGGTAGTCTGAATGCAACTCACTCTTCTAGGAACACCCACTCACCCAGACTTACATCCATCCATCAAGGCATTTTGCTATGAAATAACTCCTCCCATGAATCCGCCTACTGCTTGCATCAGGGCTTTGGGCTCTTGAGAGAAGTACTGAGGCAGGATGATGTGATGTTTTCAGGAAGCTACGTACAGCATGCTGCTGGCCCTCCCACCATCCATGATCTGCCTGCATGCATAGAGAAGCACAAAGAATCAGTTATGACATCACTGGGTCTAAAATAAGGTATGTAATGAAGACAGAAAGCTGGTACTAGGGAAGGTAAACTTTAAGCAGATTAAATTTCAGCTTTAAATTGGTTTCTAAAGTCTTAGGTTTTTTTTTTTTTTTACCTTAATGCATTAAGGTAAAAAAACATCTGTGCCACAGGATGCCCCAAGCCCCCCCTTATACTTACCTGATCCTGATCTCGATCCAGCACTGTGCACGAGAGCAGTGGCTTTCCTCCTCTCTCACTCTCCTAACAGGGCAGACTGGCTTCTGCTGCTGTCAGTCAATTCTGTAATGAGTGAGCAGGGGATGGGGCCAATCCTGCTGTCTCTGTCTATAGATACAGGCAGTGTGGCTCAGGATCAAGCCTGCATAAGTGCCCCCACAGAAAGCGGACTGTTAGAGTGGCTCTTGCTGAAGAGGAGGAGCCAGGAGCACTGGCGGGGGACCTTAGAAGAGGAGGATAGGGGCTGTGTGGCAGGCGTGCACCCAGAGATGGACGCAGTTCAACCATTTTGTCTTCAACCTCCATCTTGGCAAAGGGTCAACCATCCTGACAAACATATTTCCCCCTCATTCTCCCCCTTCCTCTCTGTTCATACACATTGACATAAGGCCTGTGTGTTAGGAGTGTCACCGGCCGGAGCACAGCAGGGAGCCCAGAGCTATAAAACATTTTTGAGCTGAAGCACCTGGTTGTCTAAGAGAGCTGTGCAATCTAGCACCTCGTAAAAGATAACGCAAGCCTTCCCAGGAGTTCAAAGAGATTCCAGAGAAGCACAAACCAGATAACACTTTTAAAATCCATTTTTCCCCTATGTCTCATATCTTGGAATATGAGAGACTTACATAAAAACCAGGCATATCTTCAGATTGGCCACGAGGAGACAAACTGTTTGATAGGTCACACTCCCTGACTGGAATACATAGGAAAGCAGAAAAGTAGATCTCTTGAAACATTTAGTGTATAATTTCATATTTCTTATCTAATCATTCCTCAGATGTGTCTGCATAATAATCTACCCGTGGGTGGAATGTCACTTGTGCATAGGGAAAGTTATGAGCCAAATTATGAACTATAAGAGATTTTGGCTCTAGCTTAGGCCTACGCCCAGACGATCCCTCCCTAAACGGGGTATTGGTCCTTGCCTTCAGAGACACCTCCTGCTGGGGAACTACAAAATGGGTTGTCAGGCCTAAGAAGTGAAGTTGAAGAATTCTCCTTTTTAACATCAGATCCACCTGGGGAGACCCGTGCCCTTTCGCTCTGAAACTTGATCTTCTAACCCAGAACTTTGGAAAGTACTTTAACCCTCTAACTTCTCTCCATTATCTCCTTGCTGTGCTGTTGTTCTCTGTATATTTATATATATATTGGTTACATCTTTTTTCTATAAATATTTTTATTGCACCCTTTTAACCTTTTAGTAATAAATCTTTCCTTCTGAAAGTGTAGAACTGTTTCTATAGCTCCTTATTGCAATTTATGAATTTCTGCCTCAAGAAGAGCGCTACTGTGTTTGTTTAACCCTGTATAACCGGCCTGCGGTGACCGTGTTAT